TCACTCACGCAGCTGGGCGGATACAGACATAATTGTTGGGATCCGCTTCAGCTGCGGCGTCTCAGTATACCGCGAGCAGTAGCTCGCAGTATACTGAGCTTAGGGTGACGGGAGGACGCTAGTTTGTGTCCTCCTGTTACCCTAAGGAGAACTATGGGGAAAAGCCTTAACCCCATAGTTCTCCTTTAAATACCTTTTTGGCTTTAATATTACTTAAAAGCACGCAGCCATGGCATGCAGTTCTGTTGTTGTTCCACCAACATCGGAATGAGTAAGATGTGTAATCTAAGAATGTTTGGCTGTGGAAGGAATGTTGGTGTCAGATGTGGTGGTTGTAATATCCTAGAAATTGCTGACCTCCTTAGGATTTTCAAATACTACAGTGTCAACCAACTTGGTAAGAAATCCTACCATTTCAGAGCTAAGGTGCATGGATAAGTAAGGTCACAACCACCTTGGTCTTATTTACCTGCAGTTATTGAAACCCCCACCCCCATGGTCACCGATTGCTAGGATGCTGTTTGTCAATTAATGCTGATTGGTAGTATGCAGGTGGTCGCTAGCGTCCTAGCAACCAATGGCACATGGTTGAACATACTGCATCATAGCATTGGGACTGTCAGATCGCTAGCGGCTATGGAACCTGCCTGCTGCCATCTGCTTATAATCACAAGGAAGGCAGACCTGATGGGGAACTAGTCTGTTAGCGTCACCCATTAATCTTTGCCCACTGTAACTCTAAGGAAAGGTGGACCTGATGAGGAACATAGGTCTAAACATAATCCATCAGGCTCAGCACACCCAACAGTATATTGGCAGACATGAAAAAGAAAACTATCAGCTATCCAGTCACTAAAAGGCTCGGCCATTGTGTCTGCATGTGTAACAGGAGCATTGACTGGGCAGGGAGCTCGGTAACACTGAGCCTGTCTGGTATGGACACTCCAGATTCAGCAAAACTAAAAACAAACAGAGGGCGCCTTCCCTCGTGTAGGTGTCTTTATTAAACAGAAATAAAAATAAGAAATGTACTCACAATGAAGCAATAGCATTTAGCTTTCTGTACACAGAAGACCATGTACAATCCAGGAGAATAAGGAACAGACACGGCATATGACAGCTGCGGAGCAATGACAAATCCTTTTTCACTGCATGCTTTGCACTGGTTAACGCGTTTCTGGGGCAGGCCCCCTTCATCAGAACCTGTGTATAGAAAGCTGAACGCTATTGCTCCATTGTGAATGACTTTCTTGCTTTTATTTCTGTTTAATAAAGTCACCTACACTAGGGAAGGCGCCCTGTGTTTGTTTTTTGTTTTGCCAGGCATTCAACTCCCCCTGACTGGTGGGGCCGCCTACCAGTGGGATTCTTATGTGTACACACACTATCAGTGGAGGGGTCACCTAGGTGCCAGTGGCATATACTGATTTGTGGACTCCAGATTCAGCACTGCAACCCACTGTACCTTCACAAGGGCCACCCAAGGCAGCTGCCCTTTTGAATGACACAATGCTGATTGCAACAGTAGTGACAAATTGAGTAGTGACAAATTAATTTATATGTTTCCATGTTTCATGTGCGTGTGATGGAATTCTTAAAATCTTAAAAGTGTCTGTGGCACCCTTTATGAATTCCGCTGAGTGCATCGTAGTGCACAAAAATATGTGCATAATCGGACACATATGAAGGGGCTCATAACATGTGTTCTGTTAAAGGAGCCCATTGATTGCCAAAGAACCACAATGCATACTGTAACAGATATGCAGCATGTTTTACAACCCACGACAATGCACATATTTGTGCATTGTACTGCACTGTCTGAGTGCATTAGGGGTCCCGTGCAAAAAGAATTGCACTGCAATGCACTAGCCTTCGTGACTTTGGAGTGGCCTAGTCCAAGTCCTGACCTGAATCCTATTGAGATGCTGTGGCATGACCTTTAAAATGGCGGTTCATGCTCGAAAACCTTCCAATGTGGCTGAATTACGACAATTCTGCAAAGATGAGTTGGCCAGCGCTGTAACACTCATTGCAAGTTATCGCAAACGCTTGATTGCAGTTCTTGCTGCTAAGGGTGGCCCAACCAGTTATTAGGTTTAGGGGGCAAACACTTTTTCACACAGGGCCATGTGGGTTTGGATTTTGTTTTCCCTTAATAATAGAAACCTTCCTTTTAAAACTGCATGCTGTGTTTACTTGTGTTATCTTTGACTAATATTTAAATTTGTTTGATGATCTGAAACATTAAAGTGTGACAAACGTGCAAAACAATGAAAAATCAGGAAGGGGGCCAACACCTTTTCACACAACTATATA